GGGATCCCGCGTTTGACAAACGCAGGACCTCCCACTACCGGTCGGCACATTGGTGGGGGGTCCTGCGTTTAGCAAACGCCGGACCCCCGCCGATGTGTCGACCACTACCCGCAGATCCTGCGTTTGTCAAACGCAGAACCCCCGGCCGGTAGGGTACAATCGGGGGGCGCGGGGCGTCGCGCGTTTACCAAACGTGGTGGGTCCTGCGTTTGCCAAACGCAGGACCCCCCTCGCATTTGGCCCGAGCACCCGCCTGGGGGCCTGCGTTTGGCAAACCCAGGACCCACCGGATGCAGACCTCCCGGGGCAATCGCGGGGGGTCCTGCGTTTGCCAAATGCAGGACCCCTCTCGCGATTGCCCCGCGCACTCCACGACACGGGTTTTGAGTTTGACAAACGCAGGACACCCCGGCCGACTGCCAGGGCAATCGCGGGGGGGGTCTTGCGTTTGCCAAACGCAGGCCCCCCGGCGGGTGCTCGAGCCAAACGCGCGGGGGATCCTACGTTTGGCAAACGCAGGACCCCCCGCGCGTTTGCCTCGGGCACCCGCTGAGGGTCCTGCGTTTGGCAAACGCAGGACCCCCTTAGATGCCGACCGCCCCGGGCGAACGCGGGGGGTCCTGCGTTTGTCAAACGCAGGACCCCCCGCGCGACTGCCCCAAGGAAACGCGCGGGGGGGTCCTGCGTTTGTCAAACGCAGGACCCCCCGCGCGTTTTCCCCGGGGCAATCGCGCGGGGGGTCCTGCATTTGCCAAACACAAGACCCCCCGCGCGTTTGCCCCGATCACCTCCCCATTTTTGGTGGATCCTACGTGGCCAGCAACCGATCCTACGTGGCATTACACATAATAACAATCTCATTTTTGTTGAAAAGTTCGAGAAAAAAAAAGGGGGAGGGCGCTGTTTAGCCAACAACGAAGAAGATGGAGGTATCACTCTGACACTCACGCGCTAGTACTCAGTTCTCGCATTGTAATAGCTATTAGACTCCTTCTCTCCTCACAATCACAAGATACTCCCACCTTCGGTTTGTAGTGAGTGTTCCAATGGAATGAATGTTCCTCCTGAACGGATCTCTGTGTGTAACACCGTCTAACCACGAAGAAGGTGGAGTTCTCACTCACAATGCTGAAAGGCTTCGTCCCACGGCACACGGAACGAACAGCGAAATTGGTCCATCCTCCCACGGAAAATGGACAGGTTCATCCTTTTGCACTAAATAGTAACAAAATGTAGTCCGCCTCCTTTCCTGGGCAGGTCATCCGCAGATGCACTCGTTTTTTTTCCCGTGTCGTGTGCCATGAGACGAGACCCTAAGCCCGGCCAACCACTGTTCCCAGAGGGCCGGTTCCCTGAGAATACGTGTAGACGAGCCTCCCTGCAGAAGAAATGAAGACGTTACAGCTCCCAAAACGGAAACCAGTATGCTCTGAAGACTTCCGCGACGCGCTATTTTCGGAAACTTACCCGAAGAAAACATGCTACTTAAAAAAAAAAAAATAAAAAATAAAAAAAAAAAAAAAAAATGCTACTTTTAATCCTTTGCTCGGTGATGTTCATCAATTATTTCCATAACGCCAACAGTTCGTTCTGTGTCATCAGTTTCAAATTGCACGATTGCTCCTTCCATCTCTTCTGAGCAACAGGTGCTCGACTGCTCTGCAGTGACAATCCCAACTGTTTTTTTTTTTTTTTTTTTTTTTTAAAGGGCGACGGCCTTGAGATATCATCATTAAGCTGACCGGCGCCAGGTAATTCAGAAATAGTTCGTTTTTACAACTTTTACTCATCAACTTCAATCATCTGGATTCGAACATGGGTCTGTATTTTCAACAGTTCATGGGTGTACCCACTGAGCTAGGCTCTGGCGTGTACTGTTCTAACGGAAGGAGTGTTCCTCTTTTCCCGTCCCAGGTGGACGGAATGAGTGTTCAGTGATAGAGTTTGAGTAGTGCAGTAGTGGCAAAGCGCAGCTCATGGTTCATGACATAACAGTGAGTCGAATGATAGACGACTCGGGCACTGTGGCCAATTTTGTATGTCCTTTCTCTTCTCGAGTATCCGCTTGAGTTTTGCGTGGCCCAGTTAAGTCTCCATCCCCACTCAAATTGTGGTGT